TATATATATATATATAAGTAATTATCATTCATTTTATCATTAATAACTTTCTTTTTTTTTCTTTCCTAAAGTATCCACCGTCGATAGTAGTGACTAATCTCCTCACTACATTGGAGGCATTTCAAAGGGTGGGATAGCTGACCCCAAGATTTAATGCAGCTGCATACACAAGGTATGATTCGAACCCCTGATCTTGCTTAAACGTGGATCAACCCCTACCGTTAAACTACATGCTTGGAATTCTTATCATTAATAACTACCATCTTATTTTTAATCACTTTTTTTAAAAAAATTATTATTATTTTTAATTATATATTATATCACTTGATCTATATATTATAACTTTAATTATTATTTTGTGGAACAAGTGTATATATATAGTGTCTAGAACTCATCTATCTTGTCAATTTATTCACCCAAACAACAAGAATACACCTAAGCACCTAAAACAACTTTCAACTTAACCAAATCACTAAATGTGAAATGGCAACCATCACAGTAAACAGTGCATCAGGAGTTATACTACTCCTACCATGCTCATCCTTATCTCATATGAAAGATAATCAAATTTCCTACAACTCTCAGGAAGATACCAAGTCTTAATTCCTTCATCTACCATGTTAAAAATGATAAAAACCGCAACAGCTATAAACAAAGCTAGCAGCTCGACCCCTCTTCACTAAAACAACCATATCTAGAGTTCTAAAACTTCTTTTTGGGTTATTCCAGCGCCATTGGAAAGATAACATCCAAGGCTACAACTTTCATGAAGACTGAAAAGTCAAATTCTGAAAAACCAATGCGAGCCCGGCGCATTAAAAGCGCGCCCGGCTCAATCCTCAACCAGAGACCTATAGAGATCTATTGCGCCCGGCGTGGTTCTCCCCAAGCCCGGCGCGGTTAACCCAGAAACTTCCCATTTCAAGTCGCGCCTAGCACGAATAACTGCGCCCGACGCAAATTCAAACGAGAACCCTCACTTACTTCGAAAATCTCATCAAAACCTGCGAAAACAACCAGCAATCCAACATGCAAACCATCCAAAATACCACATTCTCATCCTAGAGTCCAAAAATACTATCTTTTCACCCATGTATGTAACAATCAAGAAAAACCCAAATTTCTCATGAACCCCAAAGTCCCAAAAAAAACTCAATGTGTCACCTAAACAGCCAAGAATTCGAAATCAAAATCAACCACACGAGTTCTTAGACTCATTTCAGCCAAACCACAACAAGAAAACTAACTTCCCTTACCTCGGTGAAGAAT